GCAAGGGACACGGGGATGGACACAGGGTTGGCACTGAGGACGTGGGGACAAACATGGGGTCGGTGCTGGGGACACGGGGTCAGCACAGGCGACAGGGATGCCGTGGGGACTCACAGGCAACGGTGACGGTGGCATTATCACTGCGGTTGGTGCTGATGGCGTTGCTGACCTGGCACGCGTAGGCGCCGGCGTCACCCCGCTGCACCGGCCGCACCGTCAGCGTGCGGTTGTCCGGGGACAGGGACAGGCGGCCACCGGCCGACACCACCGCCCCGTCACGCAGCCAGGCCACCGTTTCGGTACCAAAGGGGCTGCGGCAGGTCAGGGTGACGGTGTCGTTCTCTGTCACCGTCACGTTGTCCGGCGTCACTGCCGGCTGTGTCAGCGGGACTGCGCGGGGGACAGAAGGTGTCACCGGGGCCTGAGGACACCAGGGGGGAGGAAACAGGGACGGACAGGTCGGGATCGGGCTGGTGCTGCCCCGCGCGGGGACGGGAACAGCGATGAGGGTCCCGAGTGCCCCCTGCGTCTGGATGCTCCCCCCTCTCCTCCCTGTCTCCCCGTCCTGAAACCCCTGGAGGGTGGGGTTGTCCCCAAACCCCCATCCTGAAACCCCATGGCGGGGGCATTCTGTCCCCGTGTCCCTGTCCCAAAACCCACGGGGGGACACGGTCTTGTCCCCACGCCCCCATACGGAAACCCCGGGGCTCGTCCCTGACCCAAAACCCCCGCCGGGTTTTGTCCCCACGTCCCCGCCTACCACCCCAGGAGTTTCCCCGCGCACGACGCCCCAGGGGGACACACGCAGCCCCCCCCAGTCGAGGTGGCCTCCATACCCCCAGTGCCCGGGGCGGCGCAGGAAGGCGGAAGCACGGCCGGTGGTTAATGATTCACCGGGTGCCACCGGCAGCGGGGAGAGGATGGGGACGGGGAAGCCTCCAGCACCCCGAAACGGCGCAGCAGGCAGGGGCATAGCATGGCCAAAGGCCACCAGGCACGTCACGGTCCCCACCCTCGCCGTGCCCTTCGCTCGGGGAGGGGGGTTCGGTGCTCGCTGGGGCGCGGCGGCAGCCAAGAGGAAAGATGGATGGACGGACAGACGGCAGGTCACCCTGGAGAGGACCCAGGAGTGCTACGGGCGGCAGGGACTCACCGTAGACGGTCAGGTTGATGCTGGCGGTGGTGATGGTGGGGTGCCGCACGGCCACGGTGTAGGCGCCGGTGTCGTTCAGGCGCAGGGGGCTGATGCGCATGGAGCAGTTGGCGGCACCCGTCTCCCGTTCGGTGTACGCCGGCCCGTTCTGCTGCCCCAGGTCCGGCTCCTTGAAGTAGGTGAAGATCTCGAACTGCAGGCTGGCGGTGGGTGCCCGGTACCAGGCGCAGGACACGATTCCGCTGGGCAACAGCTCCAGCGCAAAGGTGACGTCCCCCCCGAGCCAGGCGGCCTGGGGGTCCTGGCGGATGGTGAAGCTGGGGGCTTGGCCCCGTGCCGGCGGCGGGCAGGAGAGCAGGAGGGCGGCTGAGGGGCGAGGAGGCGGCGTCAACCTCAGGGGATGCGTCCCCGGTGGGTTTTCACGGCAGGATAGGGACGGACCCCCGAGACTGGAGGGGACCGCCAAAACGGACCCCTAGGTGGGCTCCAGGCTGGAGGGAACCCCCGAGGGACCCCCGAGGAGACCCTGGGGCAGAAAGTAACCAAGACAGACCCCAGGGGAGTCCCCGGGAGACAAAAGGGGACCCCCGAGGGAGCCCAGGAGGGCCCCAAAGGCAGAGGGACCCCGTCGCACCCCACCACTCCCCACCTGCCAGGACAACGCTCCAGGGGGTCCGCTGGGGGGCCGGTGTTCGGTGGCCCATGGCCGCTCACCCGGACGCCCGGGGACCTCTGCCCGCAGCTGTGCCTGGCGAAAAAAAGGGAAGGGACGGCCCAGCCCTCCCCGGGGGGACGGGCTTCCCCGCACCAGCCCCACGGTGGCAATGGCACGTGTGCCAGGACACGCCAGCGTCACCGTGGCAGAGAGCCCGGGGTG